CAACCCATTGAATCTGCATACAGTTATTCGTCGCAAGAGTTTGAAACCAATTTCTGCACGGTTTCATGACGTGTACAATAAGAACTTTGCCGAAAATTATCAAAGGTCGGAAAGTATGCGTGCAATGTCATCTGGCGGTTAAAAAAAACATGTATAATGACCAGCCACCTGCAGGTAAAATTCATCTTGAATTATTCATTTCAATCCCAGCCGTACGAAAGCACGTCTATATTGTAGCGAAACTAGAACTTTTCGAGTTTTTCAAATTCACTCGTCATAGCTTACGTGAAGGTGAAGTCGTTGTAGTGGCAGATTTCTCTGAAAACTATTGTTTTGTTTTTTTAAGTGTACAGGGAATTCATTATAATAATTTGCTGGCAACCGTTCACACTTTTGATGCCTACACTGTACACCAGAATAAAGTTGTGCCATTGAACTGCGTCATAATGTCCGATACTCTACACGGCGAATGAGAACGACTCAAATTTGAATTTATTTCACTCATAATCGCCAAAAGTGCAGGAACTCAGCGATGAGTAAAATTTGTCTGATGGTTTCCTGTGGAAAACCTAAAAAATCTGCCGGAAAATGAGGAAATTGACGAAAATTTTATTCAGTCTCGGAGTAGTACCAATAGACTGAGTGAATCCAATCTTTACTTTTCTCAAATTCGGGAATTTTTCCCTGGAAAATCCTGGAAAAACCTGAGAAAACATGAGGCAAATTAACTCATCGCTGAGTTCCTGCACTTTTGGCGATTATGAGTGAACTAAACTCAAATTTGAGTCGTTCTCATTCGCCGTGTAGAGCACAGCACAACAACATTTCATGCTTTCCAGCGCCATTTCATAGAGTATCTCAAATCCTAGGTATCACAGTTGTCCAAAATCTCGTACTTCTCCGATGGTGCGGTACCCTGGTTTTCCACGAAAGAAAATTTGGGGTGCCCACTGAGTGGCACTACTTTGTTACGGCACATGGCCAAGGACCAAGCGACGGATTGGGATGAACTTTGAAGAGATTGGCAACGCGAGCTTGTTTACAAGCAGCCAATATTCACACGCCAAAGGAGCTCTATGACTGGGCAATGAAGAATTGCAATACAAACGTTAGATTTGTGTCATCTGAGATCTGTTCCGAAGAAAAACAAATACTGTTCCACCGTTTTGCATCAGCTGCAACTATTCCCGGTATTCGTTCAATTCATGCAGCAGCTTCTTCTGGTATTGATACCATTATTATGAAAACTGTTTCTGGTGCCACAACTGGTTCAGCTTTTAGAGTTGTGGCAACGAAACGTGCAAAGCAAGTGGATTCGAATAATAATGGGAAGAATTCATCACGAAGTGCTAGCCTTGAGAAGAAAAATAAGTAAATTGTAATTTATGTTTTACATTGTTATAATAAAATATAAGAAACAAATCGATCAGTGTTTGATACAATATTGTATGTATTGGAATGTCTTAATTTATAATGCAATTCGTTTAGATTATTACTAGTGTAATGTTTTCAGCCACTAAATAATATTTAAATTTGTCAACACTACATAAAAACTATTATTGGTTTTATCATACCTATTTTGTTTCCATCAAGTATTATTTAATAAAGTAAGTCATGAGAATTAATCTTATTACGAGGAAACGTTAAAAAAATAACCCTTATAATTTATGACTTTCGTTCATTCAAAATGCAATATCTCAGAAACTACGCAAATTACTTTTTGTTGTTAAGTGTTTCTTATGTAAAAAAGGATGAAGAACACGATGGTGTCCTTAAAATGAAAATTTAACGACACGTATTATGAGAAAACTGCATTTAAAGTTTTCAAACAAAAATAAAAAATATTTGGCAACACTGTACAGAAACAAAAATTAAAAATTTAGATTTCTTGGCTAATTTTATTATTAAAACAATACCTAATGCAATTTGTAGCTTTATTTTTTCCGGAGATATGAACAAAAGAAAGTAGTGGTTTCTAAAAAATAATGAAAAATGAAAAATGTGCCCCTTGATCGAGGGGTGCTACGATCAGCATACAACTTTGGAATTTTAGAATTCGAACTTAAATGAACATTCCCTCCAAATTTGGTTCAAATCGGAAAAGGTCAATTTCACTTTTGCATTTTTTTGTGACCACTTGGCGCGGAATGACCCATATCCTAATATTTTGTATAAAACACAATTATTTGATTTTAGCCACGTTTTGCCAATGTGTTGTTCATCAATTGGGATTTTAATACTATCTAAAAATAGAGGAATACTATCAAACTTTTGCAAACTATTCATACCTCTTATGTTCCATTGAGCAATTCGGAAATGGCCATCAATGCTTTCAGTATAATTCAAATTAAAATCACTTATACAATCATGATACACATTTATTGAATCAGCCATTCAAGTACGCAAACATTCAAAGAAGACAAAATTTACAAACTTACAATTATTATATTACTTGCTGCTACTATTGATACCGCGCTTTCTTTTGGGCGAAGGAGATTCTTTTTCCGGTGATTTATTACCGTAACGGTTAATCAGTTCATACAAATCATCGCGTGTTTTGATCATTTCCGGCTTAGAGTGTTCATTTTTCTTCACTAAAATGTTTCCGCCTCTACTTGCCCAGACGTACTTGATGTTAAGTTTTCCTTGGTACTCTCGCATTTCACTCAACAGCTCTAACGACAATGGAGTTAATTCGTCGCGCATTGTACTTGTGGTCGGATTACCATTTATCTCGTAGTTTTCATCAACTGAAGAAGAGAGTAGTTTTCCAAACTCCTTCTTTTTCGCAAAAACATTCTCCTTTACATCATTGTCCTTGAAAGTTACGCGAATAGGAATCAACGAGTTCTCAGTTTTATTTTTCCCACTGAGTCTAACAGCTGAGATAATGGAATCAGTGCCAATGCTCAAACCATAGCAAGAGATAACATCCCGAACAATTTTCACAGTATCTTCATCAGGAATGAAAGGGACCCCGAAAACTACAGCGTTGTTACAATTCGCTTGACGAACACTTTTATCAACGTTGTGTTCCAAATCATGGACGATTTTCGACATAGCATGTTGCGTGTTCTTGAGCCTATCTATTTCCAGTTTTAAATGCTCGTTTTCTTTCTTCAACTCTTGAAAATCAGTTACAATGGCATCAAATTTGTCAGAAAGGAATTGCTGAGATTTTTCAATAGCAGTTGTTATCTGCTGTACTTCGCACCTAACAGTCTTCATTTCCTGGGAGACAGCATTACAAACTGCTCCCTTAAGTTCAGCGGCTAGCGTATCAACTATTGAGGATTATTGATTTTGCATTTCAGTGATTCGTTGGTAAATACTGGAACAGTTATGCGAGCAGAAATACATCCTGTCTTTTATACGCCGGGCTGCATTACCAACGAGATTTCGGCCTCAGAGAAACAGTACATGCAAGTAACCAATTTATTAGCATCTTTCTCAACTTTTTTACATTCGACACATATGCTGTCTCCACCTTCCATCAGTGCGAGTTTAAAACAACAACAACAGACCCAAAATCAATCGCTGGTGGTAACCAAAAATACACAGCTGCAATAACGAAACAAACGTTACACACACCAATTCAACAAACTCAATCGACAGTTCATAAATCAGTATATCAGTTGTTGCCACTGGTGTGAATTCCACTTGGTTTTTCGGACCTCTTTTTAGCAAACTCTGGTTTTTCCGTAGAGTAAGCTTTAAGCTACAAATTGTGATTTTTATTAGCTAGATTATAATAATAATTTGCATGAAACTTACAGATTTTAGTCCATTAATATTTAAGAATTCACGTCGTAGCTGATTGTTTGTGTTTGCTGTTGGTGTCTAAATTTTATCGTATTGTACATTAGATTATAAGTTTAATTAATCAAATATAATATAAGTTTACCTGCAATTCAATTAATATAAGTAATTTTAACTTCGTAAACTAGAATTTTAATAATACAATTTAGGATAAAGTTTTGTGAACGCACATTTTAATTCGTCTACTTTGTGTCTTTGTTCACTTGTAAACAGTCATTGTCCGCTTGTGCTCTTTGTCCGGATTGAAGGTTTACATCAACGTCAAAGCTATCCGTTATCCGTATTCAATGCCTAACGTTACGGATCGACGGTGCAAGGTGTGTGCTTGCAAGGTGAGGACTGTCGCGAACATCTCCCGACCCGTATTGCTGCAGACTTCCATCAGCTATACCTCCATCCATCACGTCCAACACTGCCAGCTTTGTTACTGGTCGCCGGAACACGCCACTGCCTGTCTTCACATCAACGCTTCGAATCCTTCCATCTTTCCCTGGATGTGTCTTGAGGACCCTGCCACGAATCCAGCTGTTCCGTATAGCTTCATCCATGACGATCACCAAATCTCCCGCTTGCACTGGTTTGACTTCGATGAACCACTTTGTGCGGCGACTGAGGGTAGGGAGGTATTCCCTAATCCACCTTGTCCAAAACCTGTCCAAACAAGCCTGAACGTGTCCCCAGTTGGTTCGGAGTGTAGTTGCAACGTCCACAAGCTGCTTTGCTGGTTGTACGACACCACTGGAACTCAACATCAGAAAATGGTTGGGAGTCAGAGCTTCCTCATGTTCTGCGCTCACGGGAACGTACGTCAATGGCCTGGAGTTGACCATCGCTTCTACTTCGACCAATATAGTGCAAAAGGATTCCTCGTCCGGGTTTCTGGAGGTAGAGAGAGTGCCTAGACCGACCTTGACGGACCGAACTAAGCGTTCCCACGATCCACCCATGTGTGGGGCTGACGGTGGATTGAACCGCCACGACGTATTCCGATTGGTGAAGGTATTTGCCAATGAAATGTTGATTTGTGCTATCTTCCGCTTCAAATCGTTGTTTGCACCTTGAAAGTTCGTGCCCTGATCACTATAGATCTCTTGCGGAGCACCTCTGCGAGCAATAAACCGCCTCACCGCCATTTTGCAGGATACTGTAGACAATGAGTTTGCTACTTCAAGGTGGATGGCTCATACCGTCTGGCAAACAAACAGAGCCACCCATCTCTTGGCACTTGCTCTGCCAATCCGGATAAGAAACGGTCCACAATAATCCACACCCACGAAGGTGAACGGTCGAATGTACGCTGCTAGCCTGCATTCTGGAAGCGATGCCATACGAGGAGGTTGAGGAGTTGCCTTTCCAACGACGCACCATTTGCACGTCTTTGCTACTTTCCGGACCGCATTCCGCAAACTGGAGACATGGAACCTCTGTCTCACCTCGTTCACCACAGTCTCAGAGTTGCCGTGACCGTATTGTCGATGATACCAGTTCAAGATAAGGCCGGTGACGTAGTGGTTTTTCGGCAGAATAACCGAAAATCTAACGGCGTACGGTGCATAATGAGCGGCACCAATACGCCCATCCATCCGCAGCATTCCTGCCTCGTCCAACATCGGAGACAACTTGCAAAGTGGACTGGTTCTCTCGAGTCTGGGGGCTTGTTCCAGAAATCGTTGATGCTGTTCTTCGACTGCGATCATTTCGTCGGGGTACGTTTCCATTTGTATCCAGCGAAAGAGTGTTTCCTCCGCGGACTGCAGCTCTTCCTGAGACAAATATTCACCGGCTTCTGTTGGATCTCCACGCACCTTTCCGGAACAGTTAGCACAGAAGCGGAGCATGTACGCGGTTGCTCGCTGGAGTCTTTCCCACTTGGAGAAACGTCTGTAGTCGATCAATGGTTCGGTGATTTCACGATGATGTGCGTGGACGGTTCGTAATTCCTCTGGTATGTTCGGTTCTGGTAGCTCGTTGCCTGGCCATTCCGATTCAGCCTTGTAGAGGAACTTCGGACCCGTAAACCACCGAGAACCGTTTTTGAAGCATGGACCTTTTCCCCATTTTGTCGCCTCGTCAGCCACGTTCAGCTTTCCAGGAACTTTCCGACATTCGCCCACACAGGTTTCGCTCAGGATTTCACCGACTCTCACTGCAACGAACTGTCGATATCTACGTTGGTCCGACTGGATCCAAGATAATACCGTGCTTGAATCGCTCCAGATCATTCGACGTCGTATAGGTAAGGTGTGGCTCTCTTGAACAGACTTCATTAGGCGACTTCCAAGAACTGCCGCTTGCAGTTCCAGCCGTGGAATGGACAGTGGTTTCAACGGGGCTACCTTGGACTTTGCTGCCACCAATGCGCAGCGTACTTGTCCTTCATCGATGATGCGAAAGTATGCCACGCAAGAAAATGCCACCAGACTTGCATCCACGAAGACATGTAATTCTATGTTGTCTAAGCCGGCACTGCTGTATCCTGGGAAGTAGCATCGCGGCACTGTTTCTCGATCCATTCCTTTAAGTGCTTGCACCCACTGACGCCATCGACTGCAGATTTCCTTTGGAATTCGCTGATCCCATGCTATCTTGCTTCTCCATATGTCTTGCACCAAACACTTCCCGTGAACAACGTATGCTGCTACTAGTCCCAGTGGATCAAAGACGCTCATGACGACTCGAAGAACTTCTCGCTTGGTCGGAATCATATCGCCACTCAACAACTGCGCGACGTCTTCCCGCAAGCAAAGTCTGAATGTGAATTCGTCGTTGATGGGCTGCCATCGCATGCCGAGGACTCTTTCGATCCCTGTAGACTTGTCCGTCGCGAAGCTTTTGCATTCGCTTGCAGAGCTTTCCCCGACCCGTCGAACAACTTCTTCCGAATTCGACAACCAGTTACGGAGCTCGAACCCAGCCTTTGCATGAACTTGCTTAACCTCTGACGCTATTCGGATTGCCTCTTCTTCGGTGTCCCTACTGTCGAGGTAGTCATCGACGTAGTGGTTGTTGACTATTGCTTCGACGGCTTCTGGAAATTCTGTTCTGTTCTCCTCAGCATTCCGGTTCTTTACGTACTGTTGAACCGAAAGTGGCAACATCGATCACGTAGACTTCGACTGGTAGTGATGAATCATCATGCCATACAAAGCATTGCGATTGACGATCCCAGGCGCGAATGAGAAGTTGGAAAAACATTTCCCTAACATCCCCTACCACAGCTACCTGCCGCTGTCGGAAACGGTGTAGAACTGACTTGAGGGATGTTAGAAGATCGGGTCCTTTCAGAAGCATGGAGTTTAATGACACGCCTTCCACCTTCGCTGCCGCATCCCACACCATACGGATCTTTCCTGGTTTGTTTGGGTTGATAACCAATCCCAACGGAAGGAACCAGGTTCTCCGCGGATCAAAGTTCGCCAGTTCCTCCGGTGTCGCCTTATGGATGTATCCTTTGGCCTCCAGGTCAGCGATGTGTAACTTCACTTTGTTGTAAAGTTCCGCATCTGCAGTCAGTTTACGCTCGAGACACTTAAGCCGCCGCTCTGCCATCGGGCGGCTTTCGGGAAACTCGATGCAGTCATAACGCCATAACAAACCCGTTTCAAATCTCCCAGATGGTGTACGAATCGTGGTTTTCTCCATGATTTCCCGTGCCCGACGATCATCATCTGCTTCGACTATCGGTGCGACCTTCACACCAGTACTTTCAACGGTGAAGAACTCCTCGACGAGATCATGTAGTTCACGATCGGTTGATCCCGAGCAAACGTGCAGAAGGCGATGTTCTGGTGGATCATCAAGGCCTTCCACGTTCCCATAGACTGTCCAACCTAGCTTCGTTTTCGTCGCAACTGGCTCCAGAGGTTTGCCGATCCGCTTCTTCAGTGTCACCATCAAGTCGGTATTGTCTAAGCCAATCAGGATACGTGGAACTGCTCCGCTGTAGCTGTTCACTGGTAGCCCCCGAAGATATGGAAATTTTTGTTCCATTTGTTCGAAGTGAAGAGATTGTGGAGGTAGCCCGAGACTTTCAACCGTTCTTACTCGCTCTAACATATATCGCTTGTCACCGCTAATACTGGAGATTCCCAACTGTACTACCTTGGATTCCGATTCCGTGCGTGTAACATTGTTTGTCCACTGAAGGCAAAGGGGTTCAATCACACCGTCGATTCCGAGCTGATCCGCAACTTCTTGCTCCATCAACGTAAACGACGACCCGTCATCCAAGAAAGCTAATATGTCGATTGATGAGTCCTTACCGTACAACTGCACTGGCACAATCCGGAAGAGAGTAGACCGCGAGCCTTGACGGTGCACATTCACCTTCGCAGTTGATTGAGAAGAGATGTCTTTGGTTGCTGGAGTCTCCGCCTTTTCTGAATGCAACAGACTATGGTGCTTTAATTCGCAGCCATTCTGTCCACATAACGGTGCCTTGCAGGGCCATTTTCCATGGGATGCCAAACAGCGTCGACACAGATGTAGCTGCTGGACCAATTTCCAACGCTCATCGATGTTGCTCTTCTGAAACTTGTAGCACTCTTTCCGCTTATGGCCATTCTTCTGACACACTGGACATGGTTTCGGCTGAACTGGACCTTTTTCCACAGTGTTGACGTTGTGCTTCCATTCACCTTGCACCTTTACTCTATCACCATCATCCGCATGAGTGTTTAGGAAACCCTTTTCTTTCCCTTTCGGTTTCTCCGACTTCGAAGCTGCCACCAGCTCTTGCAACAGAGTCGGGTTTGACAGATGGTTCTCCATACCCAACGAGCACAGATGACCACAAAGATTCTGCACTACGAGACCGAAGCTGATAATACTCTCCAATTTGTCAGCCCTTGGTGCGGGAGTGGATCGAACTTTAGTGAGAAGAATGTTCACGACCAACTCCGGCCGACCGTACAATGTTCGCAAAGTTTCCATTACTTGCGGGACGGAAGATGGATGCAGAAGTTGATAGCTCACCGCACTAAGAGCATTGCCCTTCAAGCAACGCTGTAACCGCATCAAATTCTCTGCATCAGTGTAGCCACACATTTGGGTTGAGTTTGTGTAGCTACTGAAGAACAAAGGCCAATCCAATGGATTACCATCGAAGTGAGGAAGTTCCTTTGGCACGACATGCCGGGCAGCAAGTTGCTGGGCATTCGGACCACATATCGGAACGTTTGGTGGAACTACTGGCATCCTTGGTGGAACTACTGGCATCCTTGGCGGAACCCATGGAGATGGAATTGGATTAGGGTAACTAGGAATAGTCGTCACTATGGGGTGTGGTAGAGGCACACTGGAAGGTGCTGATGAGAGAACGGTACCCAAAGCACTACTTATTCTAACGTGGGAGTTGTGGGGGATTATTTCAGGGGTCGAATTCAACAATGGTTCCCTGAATCGTGGAGTGGGCACTTGATTTGCCGAAAAAGAATCTAACAGCTGGCTTGACCTACCTTCCCACCCTACCGTGTGAACTTGAATCAGTTACAGCTGGAATTTGAGTCATCAGAATATCTCGATCCTGCTGGGACCGAAGTTGATTCGCTGACTGCCGTTGAAGATCGTCCATCTGTTGCTGCAAATCGAGTATCTGTTGCTCCAGTTTCCTCTGGGCCATCACTGCGTTCGACGAGATTTCGGAGAAAGTCTTCGCAAGTTCCTCTGGTTTTGAAGTTGGTGGAGAGATCAAATCGCTGAATGCAGGTATTGGATTACGAACGGGAGCCGGAAATGTATCGACGTTTGATACTGGAACTGATGCGCCGACCGCCTCGAAAAATTGGCCACTGACAGGGACTGGTACTCCACCTACTGCGATGTCGTACAGTGAGTTTTCATCTGTATACCTGACCTGTGCTTGTCTCGATGAAATGCTTGTTATGACTGGTGTGGTTGGGTTCCTACTGGTAATTATGCTCCTTGCAGTGGTCCGTTTCGGGATCGTTCCAGTATACGATGTGGTAACTACTGGGACTTCAACGTTCCCAGCACAAGCTGCCATGATCGTTTCTCTCTGGTCTTCCAACCACCGATGAACCGTGCTTTTAGAGCTACGATTACTACGTAGGCTCCTCACACTCACATTGTCGTCACCTTCATTCACGGACTGCAGAAGGTTGTACTTCCTGCCGATGAATTGCCTCTCCAATTCCCACCGTTGCTGATTCGCTTTCCGCTTGCTTTCAAGCTCTTGCTGCATCGATTTTTCTCGTAAAGCCTTCTCCTGCTCCTCAATTTCCCGCATGAGCCTCTCCTGGACCCGCTTCTCTTCCTCTATACGTTGCATTTGAAGTTCGACCCTTGCTTGAATGGCACTAGTGGTCGATGATTTCCCGACATGCGAGGAGACAGGCGAATGACGATGTAGACACTGGGTACAACAGAAGCTTCGATCCATCACGGACTCATCAACCCCGACGCAGATAGAGTGATACCAGATTTCACACGAGTCACACTTGACCATCAAACGGTCCGTCACACCTGATCGGTCGCAAGCGGGACATTCGGTTTGCAATGCCGAGTCTTCCGATGCAATGATTCGCACTGAACAACAGGCGCGGCTAGTTTCATCCGGCATAGTTCACAACAATAATGTGACGAAGTTGAACAAAGTTCGAGTGAATAATCACAGCTGTGATTGATAGCGTCTGGATAACCTCAAATGCGGTAAAATCTCTATATCTGCAATAACGAAACAAACGTTACACACACCAATTCAACAAACTCAATCGACAGTTCATAAATCAGTATATCAGTAGATGGCTAAAAACACAAAAAAGCATCCACAATTGAGTCTGGCAGTACAACAGAACAGTTACGGATATTTTCTGAAAAATTTAGATATCGTTGCTAACATGCTACACATGGAACTACTGCATGAATGTTTATGAAACTCTTAGCTCCTACTCCAAAACTGCACATGTAATCAGTGTGTGAGGTGCCCGTTCATTCAGATTTGGCTGAATCTGCTAACCCAGTCAGAGTTACTCAGACTTGCATGCAAGGCTTGCACGCAACCGATTTCACTCTTGCCAGAAGCAACAGAACCACTCAGAGTGTTACTATTCGAACTACTACAGCACCAATACACCAAAGCACGAACCAACGGCGAGATTGTGTACGACGCCCGTTCGTTCAGAATTTCACTAAATCTACCTAATGAACCAGAGCTATTCAAGCATGCATTTCATCAGTTTTATCAAAACCACAGCCTGTGCTACTGATCGAACTACTTCAGCACCAGTACACCAGAGCACGAACCAACGGCTAGATTGTGCAAGACGCCTGTTCATTCGATTTTCGCTGAATCTGTCTAACAAAATAGCATGTATTTCACATCTAAGTACATAGTACATAGAACCACTTTGTGTGCACTATCCGAAATACTTCAGCACCAATACACTAAGTTCTGTCCAATTTATTTTCGCGCCACAGAGCAAACAACCAACCATACAGCAACAGCAACAGCAGCAGACAACGCTACAGTCAGTACCACCACAACACTACAAACTATGACTTTTTTTTATAACAGTTGCATCATACCATCCAATATAAGTTGCTAATTTGTTTATTTTTAGCACAACACCCATATAACTGATTCAAAAACGGCAAATTAGTGCTACTCACGGTTCAAATAAGTGATAAAATATAATTATTGGAAGAAATTACACTCTATAAATGAAGATCAAAAATTTCATATAACAAGAGAACGTATCAACCAAACAAGCAGTGTTGCCACTTCTATACCAGTGACGAAATAAGCCGAGCCTGTCCAGGAAAACGCGACTATGTTATTGCAAAAAATGTTGATGGTAAGGTTTATATACAACGAAGATTAGTATTGTGTAATTTGCAAGAAGTTTATGTCATTTTAAAGGATCAATATCCCGCAACTAAAATAGGGTTTTCAATGTTTGCAAGTAACCGCCCTAAGCATTGCATTCTGGCAGGAACGAGTGGCATACATACTGTTTGTGTGTGTATTTACCACCAACATGTTTAATTAATTTTTAAAACTCTTAAAGATAGAAAGTCACTTCCAGCTGATGTGAAATCATACCATGACTTGTTTTTTTTAATTTTTTGCACCAACCCCACAGAACAGTGTTGGTTAAAAATGTGTGAACGTTCCCCACACAGCAAAAAAATAATTTTGATATCACATCAAAGTGGATGCACTACAATCATGTCGAAAATTTCATGTAATTTTTATGACCACATAAATAAATAAATGCAGTAAAAGCAGCGTAATGTCAGTTCATGCATTGTATTAATGATAATTTTGTCCTTTTTAGCAAGTAATATTACACCATATTTTCGACATGATTGTAGTGCATCCACTTTGACGTGATATCAATTTTTTTTTTTGCTGTGCAGGTAGGTATACAAAATTTGACTTCAGAAATGGTTACTATCCTGACCGATGGAAATGTGGAATCCTTAAAATTTAAACAATGGCGTCAACCTGGATTTAGTGCACAGCTAAAAAAAGTAGTGTAAATTTCCGTCACGATGATGCACATAAATGGAGCGTCATATATCATACAAGTTTAGATTATAGATCGTGTAAATTTATGAGACATGTAATGCAATATTCCATATATTATATTCAACTGTCCACTTTTGTTTGCAACATTTCTTGCAAGCTGCTAGTTTACGTGAAAAGAAAGTTTACATGTATGAATGTTTGCATGCATGGATGTTTACATCGCTAGTAAAATTCAGAATTTTTTGGTGTGTGGAGTTGGAAACTCAAGAGTTTATATGCATGTTTTTGGAAAAGTTATCCGATTTATCACCACATAATTTCAAAGTCGAACAGCAAGGTAAATACTTGAAATATGTCAATGTATAATTATATGTGATTTTTTTCTGAAAACTTTCCATTTGTTGTACAAAACGCTGTACAAGGATATCATTGGGCAAACGCACAGTGCACTGTACATCCATTTGCTATTTATTATAGAGATGATCATACCCAAAGATTTAATGTTCACTAGTTTCACTGTAATCGCGGAGTTTACCAAGTACAACCATGTTTCAGTTCGATTATTCGTAGTTAATTGTATAAATTTCATCAAGAGTAAGATACCCAGCCTTGAGAAAATTCACTTTTTCTCAGATGGATCAGGCAGTCCGTTCAAAAATAAGATGACAGCTTTTAATTTGTGCCACATGAAAAAGGATTTTGGTATAGATGCAGAGTGGAACTTTTTCGCCCCATGCCACGGTAAAGGTCCATATGATGCTTTGGGAGGAGTCTTGAAACGAAATGCTGCTAAAGCAAGTTTGCAGGGGCATCTCATTACAACTGCTAAAGAGCTTTATTCATGGGCAATTTCTAAAATCGATTCAAAAACTGCACTACGGCTTTTTTTCAGACGCAGATCATAAAGCGATGGAAAGAAAACTTATAACCCGTTATAATCGTGTCAAACTAATTTCCGGAACACAGTCATATCATAGTTTTAGGCCAGAAAATGAAAATTAAATTATTGTGAAACGATTCTCGTTCTCAGAAGAAGAACATTCTGTGAAACTTTAAAAGTATCTTTAAGCATGTCTACAAATAAAAAAAAAATCAATTTTATTTCAAACCAATAATGTGCATAGTTGGAAACCATAAGATTGTCTTATCAAAGCATTGATTCTAGTCCAAATATGGACTTGATACGGAGTTCCAAACAGTCCGTGAAAGATGTACTACCCAAATTTAATATAAATATATTCTATTTGAATTCCTATGCTATGAATCACTGTAATAATTATTTTTTACACATAACGCAAAAGCAATCAATAAATTTGATTCAAGTTTCTATGAATGTCATGGTAGTCTAGGATCAGAAATTGAAATAAGTAAGTAACCATGTTACATTCGATATGTATCAATGGAGACGCAGGGTAATCTAGTCGTATTGGAGTAATGAGCGAAATTTCTAAACATGATGATTTCAAAAAATCGTAACTCAAAAACGAAGAAAAATACATCGCTGATGTTTTGATACGTTGTGTAGAAGAGCCTAAATAAAAAAAAATATAAAAACGTGTTACGCCCATTGTTTACAAACCATGAAAACCATAAAAACTAAATACAGTAAGGAATCCTTATTGCCGGGGTAACGGGGGCGTGAATAAGGAACCGCGAATAAGGATACTCACAGCTTATGGGATTTTCACTAATGGGGGCTGTAGTGGATTATCTCATTTGTTTCAATACATAAAGCTATACTGTCTTCGACAAAGTTGCTGTACTGAGTTAGACCAACAAGCCTGTGCCATTGGATTCAGGTTAAATTGGGAACTACGCCGCTAGAGGCGCTTCACTTTTATGTTACTTATGACGATCGCTATAATATATGGATCATATTTGAAACATAGAATATTTCGTGATCCTGGCCATATAGAAAGTTACTGTCTTCAGCAAAGTTGTTCAGGTGACCAAGTCCTTACGGATGGTGGCCATCTTAGTACAGAACTCTCTCACTACGCAGCGCTAGTGTGCATGTGCAATTCCTATATAAACTGTATCTCGAGAGCCTGGCTATATAGAAAGTTACTGTTTGCAGCAAAGTTGTTCAGGTGACCAAGTCCTTACGGATGGTGGCCATCTTAGTACAGAACTCTCTCACTACGCAGCGCTAGTGTGCATGTGCAATTCCTATATAAACTGTATCTCGAGAGCCTGGCCATATAGAAAGTTGCTGTTTTCAGCAAAGTTGTGCAGGTGATCAAGTCCTTTCGAATGATGGTCATATTAGTTCAGAACTCTCTCACTACGCAGCGCTAGTGTGCATGTGCAATTCCTATATAAACTGTATCTCGAGAGCCTGGCCATATAGAAAGTTGCTGTTTTCAGCAAAGTTGTGCAGGTGATCAAGTCCTTTCGAATGATGGTCATATTAGTTCATAACGTTCACTACGTGGCGCTAGTGTGCAAGTGAATTTCTTGTATAAGCTGTATCTCGAGAACCTGGTCATATAGAAGGTAACTGTTTTGAGCAAAGTTGTTCAGGTGACTAAGTCCTTTCGGATGATGGTCATATTATTTCAGAACTCTCACACTACGCGGCGCTAGTGTGCACATGAACTTCCTTAATATGTTATGTTTTCAAAGCTTGTCCATATAAGATGTTGCTGTGCAATGTGAGAACAGGAGCCGGAAAAAGGATGACGTGTAGAGGCTGGAAATCGGTGTCAGATGCCATTTTGGAATGCAAGATGGCGGCCAGCGGTTCAAGAAAAACTGTGAAATACCCTACAATATGGGTATTTCCGGACAGGGAACGACGTGTAAAGGCCGGAAATCGATGTCAGATGCCATTTTGGAATCCAAGATGGTGGCCATCGGTTTTAAGAAAAACTGTCAAATATCCTACAATGTGGGAATTTCCGAAAAGGGACGACCAGGGAGGCCAGATATACATTTCAGATGCTATTTTGGAATCCAATATGGCGGCAACATGTTTTCCATAAATAAGGCTTACCAAGCATATTGCGTTTAATTTATTGTGTATAGCGTATCATTGAGCAAGATCGCAACGTAACGTGGAAAATTCCTCAAAACAATAAAACGCTTTG